ACATACAATCACATATACATACACATACATATTCACATTCACATATATATACACATACACATACATAAACTCACACACACACATTCACAAATACATACACATTCACTTACACACATATATAAACACACACATACACATCCACACATATATATACACATTCACTCACTCACACATACACATACATAAACACACAAAAACACATCAAACACACATATATATATATATATATACATAAATACATATATATTACCTTATGGGAGAAATTTGGCGATTCTTGGGGAGATTTAGAAAAAAATTGGCGATTTTTATTTTTTTTTTCCGAAAATCTTTGAATCTGATGAAGAAGACGACTCGTGGTTTTATACTGCGATTTGCGACGGAAAATTCCGTCGCAATCCGTCGCAAAATGAAATTAATTTACGCGCCCAAAATTTAAAAAATTTCGTGAAAAATGAAACCAATACATTGCGACGGAAAATTCCGTCGCAATCCGTCGCAAGTGTTATTTTCCGTCGCAAATCATCTATTTTTTTGTTGTGACAGAATTATCCGTCGCAAACCGTAGCAAATTGCGACGGATTTTACGACTGTTTGCGACGGATAGTTTTTTTCCACATTCTGTCGTAAAATCGTCACATTCCGTCGCAATTTTATGTGCGACGGAAATTTCCGTCGCAAATTCCGTCGCTATATGCAGGTTTTTTTGTAGTGATAATGGGTGGCTTTTAAATCACACTTTTTTAAAACAGAATTAAATTATAATAATGACACTTGGTTTACTGTTAAATGATGCATATATTCAACGTAGCGGAAAGCCTTACATATATATATATATATATATATGATATATCCATGTGCGACGGAAATTTCCGTCGCAAATTCCGTCGCTATATGCAGGTTTTTTTGTAGTGATAATGGGTGGCTTTTAAATCACACTTTTTTAAAACAGAATTAAATTATAATAATGACACTTGGTTTACTGTTAAATGATGCATATATTCAACGTAGCGGAAAGCCTTACATATATATATATATATATATATGATATATCCACCTAGTTTTTCTACGTTAATCCCTATGTGTATTTTCTTTTAATGGTATGAATTTAAAACGATCAAAACATTTTGCACAAATTAACAAAAAGGGTTAATCATATTATTTGCTTTCTTTTTTGTATAGAAAATAAACAAACCTAATCGCGTTGGTATAAGCCGACGACGGCTGCATTCATTTTCATGGTTATCCGTAAACTATACGTCAAATCAATTGATAACTGCTTTTACATTGGAAATAATTCAAGAGAGAGAGACCCCTGCGTAGATAAGTATTATAAAGAGGTGAAATCGTAAATAATAATAATAATAATAATAATAATAATAATAATAATAATAATAATAATAATAATAATAATAATAATAATAATAATAATAATAATAATAATAATAATAATAATAATAATAATAATAATAATAATAATAATAATAATAATAATAAACGAAAGAAAGAAAACGATGGGTGTTTATTACCAATACTTTATCTTCCATTTTCTCATGCATCAAAAGATTAATCGGGTATCATGTATGTCTTGGCGTTTTCGGTCATATAATCATAACCTCTCTTGTGGTGGCATTCCATTTCAACATATTCCTTACTTTGTATGAGTGTATATATGTGTGTATATATATATATATATCGTGGTGGGTAGGTAGAGTCGTATAATAATAATGAAGAAAAACTAACGGCTAAGAGTTTTTAGACGATGCTGATTAGTATCTGTATACAATTCATGTTAAAATAATCACTAATTAAATCAAAGTTCAAGTATATATATGTGTGTATATTTATATATGTTATGTGTGTGTGTGTGTATATATATAGTGTCATGTTTCATACGCATGGGGGGGGAATCAATTATGTTAGGGGTTTAAATTGAAGGAAAAATAAAACACTAAATAAAGGCATATCTTTGGGAAATCTTTTTTGGGTTCCAATTTTTCCAAAGGGCAATTATTATTAACTTAAATTGTCAAAAATTATTTGTACGTCTAATATGAAAAAAATGGGATTTCCTGACGTTTCTCATTGGATATCTTTCCCAAATTTGACGTTTCATCGAGTGAAGTATATCATTTACTTCCATTTTTTTAATCTACTTTTGTTGTCTTTTATTTATGTAGGTAAATATAGATATTTAGGGTTTAGTTTTTTTTATTTGATTATTATTCGGTCGTGTTTAATTTAGTACGTGAGAATTGTTCACTAAAGAAAATATTGGTCTGCATTCGTTCTTAACAATGAAAGGTGACCAACCATAACAAATTCATTGATTTCCAAAAAAAAAAACGAATTTGGGAATTGAGGAAGACATGCACGACGCTTGGGTCTCATATGGGAACAATCTATTAAAGGAGACCCGAGTTACGAGACGCATCTGCTTATAATTAAGTCGTGCTTTAGATTAATTACGATATTGACCTTAGAGCTAAAACAAACTTTTATTTCATTTATGATATATATAATTTATATATGATGTAAAAGTAGTATAATTCTGTTATTTCTCTCTATCTTTTTTTTTTTTGGTTCCGTACTACATTGACTTGGGGGTATAAGTGGAAATCGCTTTCCCAATAGTCATCGGGTAGGGCTCGAAACCAATAAATTCACAGGCTAATTATAAAGTTTAATAACCACGTTAGGGTAGGGTCCATATTTTCCTCAACGTAACTCTCAGCTTTTCTATACACATTAATTAATTATAAAGTGTGTGTATATATATATATATAATGTTCGATGTGTAAACGAATAAATATATGCGTACATGCTAATTTTCACCGCACATATATATATCCTCGTACAAGTACGTGCGTACGTACGTACGTTGTCCTTTTCATACAAAGAAACAAAAAAAAAACGAAAGAACATATTCTTTCAGACAGGCAAACAAGTTCAGATCCATTTACATGTTTCTACATATTTGTGCTATTACTACAAAACTCCACTCTATATAAAGATGCAAGTACATATTTTACACATTAAAACGCTTAGTGCTGATTTCCACGTCTAATTAATGGGCGAGACTCAACTATACGTGAAATTAAGACATATTAATGATACCCCACGAGTTTAGTTTTTTCACATGATTATTTCGAGCATATCAATATATCATTAAGGCTAATTAGACTTTATATCCCCCGTAGACCTTAACTACTGTAATGTGTAAACAAGTTAATATACATATTTATATTTAAATCATTATATATATATATATAAGACCCTTTAACTATAACCAATAATTCAGCTTAACAATTGTAAATAAATAAATTAATATATCTATATATAATAATAATTAGCTAGGAGCCACTTAATGTGGTTATTTAGTGCCCATCAATTTTCTCCCAGCTCAGATTACTACAAATTATTAGTCGCGCACATAGACATGTCTCTTCTCGTGCCCCGAGTTTTCTGTTGGCTTATCTTCATCATGTTTTTTTTTTGCACTCACGCGTTACGTTTATGTTTCTAGTGGAATATATATTATCTATATATACGTTTTCATGAAAGACAGAGAATTTCTAGATGCCAAGCCGATGAGTGCCTTTTATATTTTATTTATTTATTTTGGATATATTCACCATCTTCGAATCGAAATATAACACGTGGTTGCTCAGTGATCCTATTTATATATTATTTTGTAATCAAATCAAGGATATATAGTAATTAATTAGCAAGTTGTCCATCTAGTTAATTTCTGTGTAATATATATGCGTTTGGTGGAATCGTTATCCATGCAAAGATTATAATTCTTTTTTTTCTAACAGTTGAGGATTTGACATCACCTTTGATTTTTTATTTTTTTCCATAACATAAAGTTTTAAATAATGACGATTTAATTAATTAAATTAATGGATAACGGTCACATGAACCATATATATATATATATATCAAGATGTATCTGGATTTTGCATATATACTTTATTTCTTATGATCATAATTAATAACAAACATAACATTTCCGTTCCCAAATAATAATGATGACGATGATTGACAAACATACACATTGGTGGGAATTATTGGACCGCTCTCTCGTTAAAATGAAGGGGGAAAAAAGGCGATTATAAATAAAAGTCATGAAGCTTTTGTATGCATATACACAAATACATGCATGCATATTTTTACATTTATGATATTTGATGAATTTGTATACCGTACGAACTTGTACACACTCAGTTTGCTTTGGCAAACAATATACTTCGTTGCTATATAATGTATATATAGCAATGAATTAATAAATAATATATTTATGTGACTTTTTTTTAATAACAATAGTATACATACACATATATATATACACAAGACTCTTGTTGCTACATACATACATACATACATACATACATACATACATACATACATACATACATACATACATACATACATACATACATACATACATACATACAGTTTTGCAGAGTCTGCCAGACATGGAAAGCCCTTTTAGAGCATTAGATTCCCTCCTAATTAAGGTTTACATCTAAATCTCATAGATCAAAATATAATATTAGTTAATGTGAAAAGTAATGATCAGACATTATTATAAAGTTTAAGCGTACCATATCCGAAAGGTAACAATACAATACTTTTTTTTTTTTGATGAAAAACAATACAATACTTTACATCAAATGTCGCTTTCGACATTTATAATTTCCTTTTATAATTAACCAGAATTTTACTTTTGACTGACTTATTGAAATTTAATGCATCTATATATACACACATAACAACGCGCGAAATACATCTTCTGTACCACGATCTCCCTCTCTCGCAAATCATCAAAAGCTTGCACGTACGAAAAATGGCAAGCAACTCAAGTCAACCAAACTCAAGAACCAAACTGTACTCTTCATCATCGGCAAGGTTTTCCCTCACGTTTATATCCCTTCTCGTTACAAATCTTTTGTATCTCCATGCTTTTGCTATGGCCGAATCCAATCCCTCACCCTCTCACTTCTCAAGATTCTCGAGACACCCATTTCATAATGATGCTTATGAGCCTAAATCCAAATCACCCGTTGACGAGTCACCAAGAACCGGACAGAAAGCTCCGAACGGCAAGTACCCAAAACAAGAGTTCTACTCGTCGGTCGAAGAGAGCGTGAAACAGGCCCTATGGGCACGTTCTCTTGCCCTAAATCTCACCATCTCTCGCCGTACGGCTCCGACCCACGTGGTCGATCCCGCGAACGATTGTCTCGAACTGCTCGACGATACACTCGACATGTTGTCTCGTATCACTGCCGAGGGGAATCGACATAGCGACGAGGATGACGTCCACACGTGGCTAAGCGCGGCGCTCACGAATCAGGAGACTTGCAAGCAGAGCCTCCAAGAAAACTCCAAGGTCCACGACCACGACGCCACGATGGATTTTGTCGCGAGAAACCTCAGCAACCTACTGACCAACTCTCTCGATCTGTTCGTGTCCTCGAAGTCAGAGGATCCATCGAGTTTGGTCGGAGGCGGTCGACGGAAACTGTTGTCGGAGAATTTCCCGTCGTGGGTTTCTTCCTCGACACGGAAGCTTCTAGAAGCTCCGGTGACGGAGCTGAGGGTCCACGCGGTGGTGACCGCCGACGGGAGTGGGACCCACATGAGCATCGGAGAGGCGCTGGCGTCGGCGGCAGGGAGTGGGAGAAGCGTAATTTACGTGAAGGCGGGGACATATGACGAGCACATCAACATCCCGACCAAGCAGAAGAACGTTATGTTAGTTGGAGATGGAAAGGGCAAAACGGTCATCACAGGTAGCAGGAGTAACCGTGGTGGTTGGACTACGTACCAAACTGCCACTGTCGGTGAGGATTCACAATTTTTTTTTCCTCTCGTAAATTGATAAAATATTACTTAATTTAATAATTAATCTCACAAAACACTCGAATTTGTCCCACCCAAAATAAAAGGCCCCTATTGATACACGAATATATCATTATACAATTAATACGAAAAAAAAGAGTAAAACAAGCAAACTTTTGCTGACTATCGATGGTCGTGGAACAGACAAATCATATGCTAAAAAAACGGATGAATGATAAATTTAAAGAAAAAATCGAACAGATAAATGAATAAGTGGTCGGAATTTTCATGCAGCGGCAATGGGAGACGGGTTCATAGCTCGGGACGTAACGATAGTGAACAGCGCCGGTCCGAAGGCCGAGCAGGCGGTGGCGCTGCGGCTAGGCGGAGACAAATCCGTGGTGTACCATTGCTCGTTGGAGGGATACCAAGACACACTCTACACCCACTCCAAACGCCAATTCTACCGCGAGACCGATATCTATGGAACCGTCGATTTCATATTCGGAAACTCGGCGGCCGTCTTCCAAAGCTGTAACATCATGGCTCGGAGGTCCGGTCAGACCAACTTTGTCACGGCCCAGGGACGGATAAACCCTAATCAGAACACCGGAATCTCCATCCACAACTCCAAAGTTGGTGCCGCCGAGGTAACATAACCGAAAATATAGTAATATGTGTTGAACTTTCAATAATTCCTGATTGGTGTTTCTAGTAACATGTTTGAGTTCACACGTTTTCCTTCAATAAGATATCATATCGGGAATTACAGAGTTTGAGTTCACATGTTTTCTATTTAATTTAGGTTTTCGAAAAATATAAAATATGTGCTAAACTTTCAACAATTCCTGTTAGGTGATTTTAGAAAAATAAATTCACGTATCTTTAAAGATTGGTAAAAAAGATAATATTGTTTTTTTCTATTCAGGATGAAAATTTTGTCTTACTCGGGCGAAACAATATGATTTTTTTTTCTAAAAAAATAAACTTGCCGTAGCCAAAGAGTTTATATAATTCTTGAGTTTACAACGTTCGTGTCGGAAGATGCGATTTGTCATGAAAAAAACATATATTTTTTTGTGAACTCTGAAAAAAAAAACCAGTTTACTTTTTTTTTTAAAAAAAAAAATTAACTTTAAATGATATCCCGACAACAGAATCTAGGTGGGTCGAAAACGTACTTGGGTCGACCGTGGAGGCAGTACTCAAGGACGGTGATCATGCAATCGTTCCTCGACGGGTCGATCCACCCGGCAGGTTGGTCCCCATGGTCCGGTAACTTCGCCCTCAATACCTTATTTTACGGCGAGTACGGGAATTCGGGACCCGGGTCGTCGGTCTCGGGTCGGGTCAAGTGGCCCGGGTACCACCCGTCTCTCTCTCTCGCCCAGGCCCAAGGCTTCACCGTTTCGGCTCTCATCGATGGCAACATGTGGCTGCCCTCCACCGGTGTCTCCTTCGACTCCGGCCTTGTCAAGTGATTTAATTAAAATTAATTAAATCGATTATACTGATTACAGTTTACTTTTTAAAGATTTTAAAGCGTTGTGGTAAATAACAAACAAAGTAAATTGTGTGATATTGACTTTTCAAAGTGTTGTATTGTAAACAATCAATATGTATAATAATCATTTCGAAGTGAATGAATGGTAGTGTGTATATATGTCACATGTTCTTTATATTGTTTTTATTTTATTTTTTTATTTAAACAACGGTGTTTCTTCGATCGATCGTGATGTATTTAGCACTTTTGAAATACAAAATAACAAATTTTGAGGGTTTTTTCAATCACTAAAAATATGTTATAATTTCTCGGATTTTATTTTATTTTATTGTACTCCACAATTTATTATACAAATTTGATACAAAATAGTGTTATATCCTTGAACAAAACATAATTTACCATATCTTGTTTTTATTCAAATATTTGGACCCATGATAATAGTGAATTAGTATTAGCTTAGAGACGCTCACAAATCACAATAGCTTGTTGGATTAGGCCCAACTAAAAAAGAACCGTGAATAGAAAAGATTATGTTACCAATAAACAAATGGAATAATAATTTATGAGAAAGGCCTACAAGAATATCCAAGTTTTCCCGAAATTTAATCTCGATACCGAAAAAAAAAACTCCAACATAAAAAAAAACAATTGAGATATTTAAATAAAAATAAAAGGATATTTAGGACGTGATATTATTTTGAAAAACAATTGTGTTCGGTGCACGCATGAATGGGGAATTATCCATAATAACCAAGTATATTTGATAATGATGATGATGATGATGATGGTGATGATGATGATGATGATGATGATGTGTTGAGAAGACATCCCCAGATACGTCTTAACCCCGACAGTCGAAACTATTCATTACGAAATTTAAATGAAAATAGCGAAAGAGAAATGGAACAATTAAATTGAAATTAGGGAGGAAAGTGAGTGGGTAAGGCCATGTGCCTTCATGTGGTGGTTGCCCTATTACGTTTATCGCTCTCTTAATCAATAACGACGCCTATATTCATTTCCAAATTTAATCTATTTTAAGTTTCGATTAATAATAATTATTATTATAATTATAATTCGAGAAATAACGTGAAATATTTTCAAACCTAAAATCGTATATGGTAGACGATAATGATTAGAGACGTGTGCATGAGAAATTAGATCAGGTGCTAATGGCGCTAAGGAATATTAAAGTGTGATTAGCACAAAGAGATGCCACTAATCCTAAAATTATACCTTTAACCAAACTCTAATCCTACTCTCCAAAGCGCCATGTTTGTTCTTCTTTTACTCTCTTGGGTTATTACGATTTGTTCATTTTGTTTCGTTATCATTAAGATTGTTGTTAATTATTTTTAATATATTGAACCTTCGAATTTTGACATATTCCTAATTATTGATTTTCAACAGTGGCACGAAATTCAGACCGAATATGGGTATTTTCCTAATCACTCCTTGTGTTTCGATTGAATGCCCCAAAGATCTTAATTAAGAATTATACTATTAGAAAAGTTTGTGGCAAAATATTTTTTTCTCCTTTTAATACTATAAGCTCAATATGTACCCGTTAGCACCATTAAAAAAAACACTGATCTTAATTAAGTGTATTTAAGCTTAATTAATCCTTTTTCTAAATAGGAATTGTACCATATATGATGGTTACGGCAATATGCAGCGTTCTTACATATAGGCGTAGAACCAAAGATCCTAAACACAGTCCCTGACAACTAAACCATGGCTTCTCCGATCGAAATCCTAAACACAGTCCCTGGAAAAGATGTTTTTGCCCTCCACTTCCTCCATTCCCTCTCAAAGCTCGGAACACAGATACCCTTTTGTCCGAACAACACGAGCGAGCGCGTGAGGAAGATCAAGACGGCGGCGTATGCCGCCATGGCAAGATCCGCCGGAGGAAAGAACCGGCCGTGGAGCAGAGCTCTCTTGTGCCGGCTCCGTGGCCGCACCAAAGATCATAACAAGATCATCAGGGGAGTTATCGTGAAGCGAATAAGGGTTGACGGCGGCAGAGGAAGACGCCGGCGGCGGAGGAGTCGGATTCCGGCGACGGAGAGTCTGAGGAAGCTGGTTCCCGGTGGCGGAGGGATGGAAACGTTGAGGCTGATGGAGGAGACGGCTCATTACATTACGTGTCTTCGCATGCAAGTTAAGGTCATGCAGCGTCTCGTTGACGAGCTGTCCGCATGAAGACGACGGTCATGAATAATGATCATCACCGTTGATGCATATACATATCCGTATACGTATCTCCCCATCTCAAAACGCATAAATTCGTATGATAGTCGTATAGTCTTTGGGCTTTTTTTATTTTAAAAAATAAAGGAATAATGGACAATTTGCCAATTGCCATATATAATTGGAAGTCTTCTGCAAAACCTGCTAGAAGAAGCAGAGGCTTTAGAAGACTCTGGGAGAAGTGGAGGTCTCCAAAGTCGTGCTCCGTGGTGGAGCGAAGCGAAGAAAAAGGGAGCAAGGGTAAATGGGTAATTTGAAAGCCCAATTCATAAGGGCTAGGGCTTTTTTTTATCACTTTTGGGACGCGGGTCTTTTTTTTCTTCCTCTTCTCCGCGAGGCTGTTCCTTGGGGGTTCTCTGGTTTCCTCGCCGGAATCCATCTCCGATCGATTCCCGGCGGATATCTTTGTAAATTCTATCAATAAACTCGTTAAAATGCGTGTCTATCTTCTTCTTCTTTTTTCATTTCTTGCATAAATCGGAGTGAATCGCCGAAATCAAATCGAGCTCAAACATCTACAAGAGACTAGAGAGGTATCAGAGTCTGGTTTTTGTAGTGTAGATAAATCCTAGCAATAATATGATGGGGTTAGGTTATAGTTGAATTTGATGTTATCGTTTCAAGATTAAACAATTCGGGATGGGAACTCGAGTTGTTGTCCTACAAATTTTCAACTAAAAAAACCAGACTGCTTTTGAATGTAACTCTGGCTCTTTTTTTCTGTGTTAAGTTCTCCCGTTGCATGATCAGTTCCAGTTGGAGCAATTCTCTGTTTTCTTCTATATATATATGTATGAAGATGTTGTGTGTCTCTGTAGCTTTCTGTAAGGAATATGTATTTTGTGGACATATGATTGTCGTTGGCGTCTCTGTATCATTTGTGTTTTGTTTAACGGATGTCGAAAACACAGAGTCCCAGAAGATGATGTTGCACATCAAAGAATCACTCCTCAACTGTATCTTTGAACCCAGCAAGAGATCTATCTACAGAGCCACTCAGCCCATGTAAATGATCCACTATGTATGACCTTATTCCCCCCCCCCCTCTCTCTCTCTATGTTTCTTTGCATGTTTGATCATCAATACGTCGTGTACAGCTCGCACTAACATTATAGAGGGAGAGTGGATTATAGATAATATATAATAATATAGTGTTGTTTTGGCCAAAACAGCTTCAAGTGGTGGACCAAAGTGATACGTTGACATTTTCAGGGATATGATGGATTCTCTTCCAAAAGTCAAAACTGCTTGTTTTGTTTTCGGGTAATGTCTGAAACAGAGAGTAGTAATGGTGGGGGAGAGGGAAGATATCCCACAAAGACAACAATGGTGGATTCACCACACCCAATATACCTTCTAGAAGTTTGACTTTGGAACCTTCCTTTGAACTTTTTTTTTTAATCATATGTGTATATATATATGTGATAAGTTCATTTATATATATGGTCAGGCCATTATAAATCCAATATGCATATCTTGATAGGAAGGTTAGGGGAATAACATATCATAACATAAAATAGTATTACACTTCAGGAATATCTTGTAGACGATGATACTTTTAGGGATATATACATACATATACACACATATATGTATATAATATTCTCCTTTTTACTTCGCTTTGATGAATCAACGTAAAGGTAAAGGTATGTGATAAGAATCAATGTAAAGGTTAAAAGGAAATGGGGGTTAACTGCTGCTTTTTTTCCTTTTTGTCTTTTGGGAGAACTTTGTAAAGATTTCTTCTGGTCCTACAAGAATATCCATATATTATGTCTATCTAGATAATTAAAAAAAAAAATCCATTTTTTATTATACATACGTGTATGTATATATATATATATATGATAAATTTTTAAATGAATCGTCTAGTACCCATTATGACCTATCTAATTATTGTATTGAATATATGATCCAAATTATATTGTGCATACTCTTTAAAAAAAAAAAAGATATTCATTTCGTAGTTGCCGGGAAAATGATCAAAACTCTAACATAAATTCTTTGTTTTTGGTAACATAAATTTGGAGATTCGAAATCGGACTGAAACAAACGTTAAATGTTTCTATTTCACGGGTTGAATTATCCTAAGTAAGATTGTGTTAATATAAACTATTTTCGATTTCCTTTTTTCACATGAGTTATCCAATATCCATAACCATTACTGTGACCCAACTTTTTATGCGAGTTTTCAAATGTTTTTCTAGTACTTGGGAATCACCAGAACAAAAAGGAAAACCCCTTCATGATTGATGTGGATTGTACAATAGGATCATGGATTCTAAATAATTTCATCTAATAAAGCTATTGTCGTTACAAGAAAATGTTCCAAATGAAAAATCAAGAATTTATTGTTATATACATTATGTTAAAATTCTTTATTGGTCATGATACTTTACGAAATATTTTTATTATATACATCTTCTCCTTTTACAAATGACTATGAAAAGTAAAAATCCATAGATTATTTGTATATTTTAATATCGTATTAGGCTCCGATTATCCCTAATAAATACAAATCTTAAGGTTTTCAATTATTATTCTCCAATAAATAAAAGGAAAAGAAAATGTGGAGCAAAATTCTAGTCGAGGACATATGATGACGGAAGGGTGACATATGCGAAATTGCAAGCATATTATTATTATTATTAGTATTATTTTTTTTTTGTGGCGCTGTTAACTAATTAAACTATATACTTTAATATGAAATTTGATTATTCGAATTAATTAAGTTTCTTGGTCGTCAAGAAACCTAGCAGTCTTTCTTTGAATTCCCCAATTTTGTTGCACCGAAATCGATTAAATTATGTTTGGATATACATTTTTCATATTCGTCTACCAATATCCAATAAATAAATAATAACGAAATGGAATCGTCACCTGATATACATTTTTTTCTTTATATTTTCCTAATATTAACGATTATAGATTTTTTTTCTTGGGTATCGTAAAGGATCGTGTAAATCTCAAACATCCATTTCATTGATGTCTTTAAAAGAAATATTTAAATTTGATAGAGATACCAAAATATAAAATTATGCCTTGTAAGCTATGAAATTCATGTGGGTAGATATATCATCGCATTCGCATTTGGATCTGCCATTCTTTGTTTTAGTGCCAGCTGAAACGGGGAACGTATATTATATGTTATTGTATCAATGAATATTATAAAGGTCCATGTTTTGTGAAATGATGGTAGTGGGAACCTTATAATAAATGTGGTTGGAAAGTCGTTGACGTCGCTTTTTAAGCAAACGTAATGCTGATGGCACATTATGTGTCACACTTTCGATTTGGTTAATTTATATTAAATTTTATATAATCTGCTGTTTTGTTTTTTTACAACTTTTTCAAACACAGATCGATTACGTATTTCGGAGGAAAATAACGTTTGATTTAATCCATTATTTACATATTTTCTAATCTTTTACTAATTGGGTAAGATTCATAATTTTGTTTAATTTTTTTTATGAATTTGATTTAGTGTATGTATATGCACAACTTTATGGGAAGTCATGAAGTGATATTATCTATAAAAAAAGTTTTAGGTCGATAATTAATTATTCATAACATACATGGTAAAATTTACATCATTATATGATGATCCAAATAGTAAAAATGTATGTAAAGGAATGGAAAATCCCAAATATAGAATTAAGAAAAATATGTTTTGTAATTAGAGGACACATAGGAACATATCTCATATGGATCTCGTGTTCATTTTGCGAGTCCGATGTTTGGAATCCATTATTTTAGGCTGTTTATGGAGTTTAACCTCCGTCTGTTTTCCCATTTGAGGCTTATGTTAACATTATTTTATTTATACAATTTATTTTTACCAAAAAAAAAACATTGAGTGTGACAATAACTCTAATTAGAAAAAATATATTTTAAAATTTATTTATATATAAATAAAAGAAAGTCATCCTCATGATGGCAAAATAATTGCAATTTGATAAAAACCGAAAGCGACAATAACTCCTCGTGGCAAAAATGTTATGCTTACGTCAGCATGATCATGGAGTTTCTATAGCCTTTCCTACTTACTGCTTCGTAGATCCCTAGTTAATTAGCGGACCAATCACGGATTTAAAACAGTTAGAATATTCGTATTTGCGAAAAATTTGATGACGTAAGCGTTACATGTGTTTTACGTATGCAAATGCTGACATGGTACGCTAATAAATAAAAATTGTCGGATTTAAATTCTGGCCCCCAAAAGGAATTTACTTCGCATTTAGTAACGTCATTATTTTAAGAGCTCCAAACCCCACTTTCTTATAAAAGTGTATGTGTGTACGTATTTATTAACAAAAAAAAAAAGTGATTAGGAAGATGTATGTACATGTGTGTGCGTGTGATTGTCATGATGACATAACAGAGTAAAGCTTGGATCATGATGACACAAGCATGACACAATCATCGCCCTTCCTTGGTCCAAACAATCCGGCAGTGGGATCCGTGGGGCCCACCTCCTTCGAATTTCAGTTATACACACACCCATATATAAATACACACCCGGTTCATCCCAATCTCTCCATCGACACAAACTTACATCATTAGTTTCATTGCCCAAATCCGGAAAAGAGAACAACTTTCTCATCCGAAGATATTTTGATTCACGAGGGCGGCATTAACCGTGAGAAATTTGCTCGGGTTTCTTCAGCGATCGATCATCAATCTCGAACAGAGGCAGAGGCAGTGTTGTGAAATCCGAGCAGGAAGACAAGGTTTTCTGGGTTTATCAAAGACACCATGTCCGATTCTTCCGTCCGTATCGTACCGAGACCCGTCGTCAAGAAGGTCTTAGCGAAGCTTCAGAGGGAAGGCGATGGCGCAGTCGTCAGAAGAGCCATTGGCAGGTTTGTGTTCTGTTTTTTTTTCTGATCACTGTTGTCGGGAATTGATTTGCTTCGTCAACTCTTCTGGGTCTGAATTTACTTTTCTGGGCATGCTCTGTTTTTTGGTGGGCGATTCAGGAGCGAGCTCACGTTCTTGGACCCGTTCTTGATGCTCGATGAATTCTCGGGTAATTTCTCCTGCACCATTGTCAGAAAGTTTGAAACTTTCGTTTTGATGACGGACATTGTCATAGGTTAAGGTTTAACCAATTTTGATTCTCTGTCTTTATATGAACAGTTTCTCCTCCTGCCGGATTTCCAGATCATCCTCACAGAGGTTCACTTTCTATGCTTTCGATATATCCATATATACACTGATACACACACACACACAAAGATGCAGAAAACATGTTTTGGAACGTGTCTGATGTGAAGGAATGTATAATGTCTGAATGCAGGCTTCGAGACTGTTACATATGTGCTTCAGGTGAGAAAGAATCGCATCTTGTCTGGTTCAAATCTTGCCCCTTCTTCCAAAACCTCTCGAAAACATCTGAGATTGTTCGTAACTTGTTGCAGGGAGGCATCACCCACCAAGACTTCAAAGGCCATAAGGGTACAATCTACGCCGGCGATGTTCAGGTAAATCCTTCAAAAGGGTTTCAATGTCGGAAACAGAATCCGAATTCGAACTGCGATTTTCTAAGTTTACGATCTGACGATGGGTTTGATTCTTTCTGACAGTGGATGACAGCAGGAAGAGGAATCATCCATTCCGAAATGCCGGAGGAGGAAGTCAACAGAGGCTTGCAGCTTTGGGTCAACCTCTCCTCCAAAGACAAAATGTAAAACAAAAAAGATTCGAACACCCTTTTCAATTTTCTTTCCCAAAAACTCCTAAAGATTTCGAATTTGCAGTTCCTTAACTGTAAAGATCCATTCTTTAATGGTGTCGGATCTAACAGGATGGAGCCAAACTACCAAGAACTGTCAGGTTCAGACATACCAAGAGCAGAGAAAGACGGCGTCGAGGTCAAAGTCATAGCCGGAGAATCAATGGGAATCCATTCCCATGTCTACACAAGAACGCCAACAATGTTCCTCGACTTCGTCCTGAAACCAGGAGCTAACTTCCACCAGAACATTCCGGAATCTTGGAACGCCTTCGCCTACGTTCTAGAAGGCGAAGGCTGCGTGTTCGGGCCACCAAACTCGCCGCCTGCACCGCCACATCATACCGTGGTGTTTGGACAGGGGGATGGGATTAGCGTGTGGAACAAGTCATCTAGGCCGGCGAGGTTCGTGCTGATCGCAGGCGAGCCCATCGGCGAGCCCGTAGTTCAGTACGGACCGTTCGTGATGAACTCGCAGGCCGAGATCGACGAGACGATCGAAGACTACCACTACGCGAGGAATGGGTTCGAAATGGCTAACCATTGGAGTTCACAATGAGTTAGAACAGATCAAGACTCTTCTCTCTGTGGACCACAGAGAACAAGAAAGGGAAACGAGTTTCTTTCTTTAGTATCGTTTTATGTTGTGTATTCTCTGTTTTTTTTTTACGATTTAATAAATGAAATAATTTGTTGAAGCCTAATTAATGCAAGAAGAGAGATAATTCATATATTTTTCTTAAATAAATCCGTTTAGATAAGGTTTTAAGGTTTAAATTTGCTATTACTCACTCCGTTTCTAAATAGATGTCGTTATATATATAGAATATTTTTAGGTGATTTTGTAAGAAAATTTACAATTCTATCCTTAATTAAGAAACATTAATTTCAATAAAAACTAATGAAAATATGATTTAAAAGGGGTATAAATGACTTTTTTTATATATATTTTTTAATAATTGTAAAAAAAACGGCGTTCTCTTACAAATGGAGGGCGTATTAGGGGGTACTAATCAATCATGTCTCCTTAAATTCTTGGTCTGACCCTCAAATATAAGTTATATCATTATTAGGCTGTCTGCATATATATCTTCTAATGTTCATACTCTTTTACATTTGACATGCGAGGCAAATCTCTCTATCCTTGGAACATAAAAACACACCCAACATTCTTTATTATTTGCCACGTTGTTGTAAAAACGCGTAATGCTTCACTGTCAGACTCGGACCATCGATGTTCGGACAAAACGTGTTCGGTGTTGAAAGCGATAAAGGCTTAGGTTTAATTATAATCAAAATGATAAATTTTTCAGACCAAATCTCACCTTCATCTAGAATATATATATATATATATATAAACAAGAATAAGACTTTTCCTTACCAATCCGACTGTCCTTTTTTCTTCTCTCTTTTGGTGACTGGCCCGTATTGAGCGTGTAATTAATTAGCATTTGGAAATATCTAAAACAATTACATGCTATTTAGGTATTTTTCCCTTTGAGTTATATTTATAGATAAAAGTATATATGAACTCGATTGTCACACGGGTGAATATTAATTAGCGTTGGGCTGAAATCAAGATTTGTCAAAACAGGCTTTCGTTATTTAAACTTCAAAAGCTTTATCCATGCTTGTTTCAATCGTGATTTGTCCAAAGCTACCTCCGATTCAACCGTGTTATATTGTGAGTCTAGAGACTTGTGGTGGCGCCAAATCAGATTTGGACATGTTTCTTCTAACCTCCAAAATCCTCGGAACTGAATGACTCTTCGTGCTGTTTTAAGGTTCCTTCGAGAAAGTAAGACTAAAACGATCACCTCTTGCACGCGCCGCAATTACATTTCTCCGCCTCCTTTATCAGTTTCTACGAAAAGAGATAAAGAAAACATCGTCAAACCGTTTCAAATCAAATCGGTTTCCGTTGACCAAATTGAATCGATGTTAATTAGCATGTTGATTCATGAACTACTTGAATGAAGGTGCTTAAACATGATCATTATAATCTGTCTGTCAAGAAATATATAGGAATACGATGGCACCTCTACTTGGTGTTGAAGCTCTTTGATATGCTCAACAGCCAAATCCAACATGTCAGCATAGCTCGTTTGCTGCCAATTTTGAGGGAAAAACGCTCAATTGGTGTTATATATATATATATATATATATATATATATTCGACCGTATGGTAAGGTATATAATCTTCACTCATCAAAAGGCATAAATAATCTTTGTTAGATTACTCTCACCTTATCCATATTGGGAACCAATTCTTGCAACTTCTTCAGCTTTCCACTTATTCTCGTTCTTCTCTCCTATGTATACACCAAGAGGAGCAAAACATTATAAATCCTTTCGTAATCTTTTAATTAATTTGTTATAAATGAAATAACGAAATCGGAAAAAGAATTACCCTTTCAGCGATGCTGCGGGGGTGAGTGGCGCAACCGCGTTTGGCTCGGACCCTACAAGGCACTGAGTCTTCCGGGATATTCATTAAGTTCTTCATTCTCTCAATCTCCAGAGATGTTTGTGGCATGCTGAACTGATAATCATATATTGCCCAAAATTCAAAAAGCACCAAATGAAGTAAATATATATATATCTTGTTCAAGATCAGACCAGCCCTAGCTCGTGCAACTATATTGTTTCCTCAGCTACGATCCAACTTTTTTGGGACATATATGACCATTGAACACATAATAACTTGCAATTCATGTGCATGCTATATAAACTTGTTGTAATTAGAAGTGCATTCATAAGGTTAATTTCTTGCCCATATATAAAGTTTCTCATTCTGAAACATGTCATGCCATTAGTATACGGACATACAAATATACATATACATAACGTAAATAAAAAGATCGGTTTGGTATTGTGGAAATATATTAGGTCTAGGATTCATGGGTTCGGTTCTTCTAATATGCAAACAATTCCTTAGATATTTACATTTCATCAATATACGTGTCTATACATATGCGTGTACACCCAAACACACACATATATAAATATATACCTGAGTTTCTAGGGTGAAGAAATCGGTAGTCTTGGATCGTTTTCCGGGCTGATCAATGGTGAAACTAATGTTGGAAGAAGAAGAAGCGTCCCAAGAGTGATGACGACGATTGTCCATTCCAAAGCTCATACAGCTGCTACCTGACGCAGCGTTGACGCCGGCGTTAACGGCTGTAGTCTCCACCACCTCCGGAATCCTCGACAAAGAACGACGATCTTGCCCACTCGCCGCCGGAAAACCCACCTCCGCCTTCGACCTCGACGGTAGCCTCCGGTCGCCGCCGCCGCCCCGTCCTCCCAAGGAGAAACCTGTTTCCCGATCCATCAACAAATTTTTGTTTTATAACAGTGTTTTCACGTGATTGAGGGTGAAAAAAATAAAAGAAAGAGGTAGGGTTACGTTTCATTTGTTTAGGCAGAGACTATAAAATAAAATATAACGTTAATGAGGAATAGGTCATCGAAGACCCTATCCCTTTGTCTTTACGTAAATTATTAATTGGCAATATGGCCTTTAGACCCAAAAAAATATATTTGAAATGAATCTTTTAGAAATATCAACTGTTTGATTTCCAATACACAACCCTAATTAAAAAAAAAAAGAGAGAGATTTACCTGCTTGTGTGAAATTTTAAAATGATATTGAATTAAAGTTCGACATATTACATTATTCAACTTTACGCATTTTCGACCTTAGGTTATATTGACAATGGATAACATAAATTCGGAAGACAACATAAGAAAATAAAAAGTTTCGATGCGATCCCATAATCTTAATCATCAATCCATTTATACATTTACATGTACACGTATAATATAATGTGTGTAATATATATATGTGTATATATATATATAATAAATGATAGTTAGACTGAACAAATTTTAATTCCAATTATGAAATGCAAGTTGGGTTGCGCACATGGTTTACCTAGAGGTCGAAAATCGTTACGGGTGCAATGTACCGAAAAATTAACAAGATTCATAAATTAAAAATAATAATAATTTATTTCGAAAAAATAATTTAAAACCCTTAAAAAATGCAAGTGCAGAGGCATATCCAAAAATCAAAATAGTGTCTGCAAGGAGGCCACGTCAGCAAAGAACTCGACATGTAGGACCCACAGACTGCGAAAGACCTAGTGGATGGGTAAATTTATTCCAAGACCAAGTGGACTATATACCTTTTTTCTTCCTTTGCAATGATTCTTTTTTTTTTTTTAAATCCTATTTTCAAGTGCATCATTTTACAATATGATCAATTTGCATAAGTTGCATGCTTTAAACCCACAACTTGCTAATCCCTTAGAAAAAATACATAAACATATACGTATGTATATACACATGCGGTATCTAACATATATATATGTATATGTACATGATGATCCACACTGGATTCTAGAAATAGAAATTTGAAGAGACGGGGTTTCCATCTCCAGATAATTAAAAAAATGTGTTGTCTATCAATATCAATCTATATAATGTTAAAAAAAATATATAAACACGTTAAATTATTCTAATGTGTCTAGCTCGTGTATATATACCATGTCAAAAGCAAAAATGTTCAACCCTTTTAAAGAGGACCATATTAATTACTTGTTCATGGAGAGACAAATCCAATCAATTTCAAAATTGACTTTTGCAAGTTGTAAATTAGTTTATTACAAACCATGAAATATTAATTTTTTATATTTACGTATACGTAATTTTTAAAGTCAAAACTATTCGTTAGATATATTTCGCCATATTGGTATATAATATAATTTTTAAAATAAAAAAAAATAGGTGGAAGGAGCTAGGCTAACAAGCTATATTAACTCATTGGTAACACCAAAATAATATCGATTTTGAAAAAAATTACTATTTTGAGTCAGAATTTACCGTTCATCGAATGAATATAAAAATTCAAAATAGAAGTTCTTGCCTACATATTTGCATATGGCATCTACTTGATTCTGTAACATGGCGAACATAGGATTCAAAAATTGCTTATCCAACTTAAGAGACTATTGTTATTAGTTTATGCAAAATATGCAAGAAGAGGAAATAATGGGGTAAATCCAAAACAACATGAAATTATGGGGGCGGAAGCGTAAAAAGAGAGAAGTTACCGTTGCGATCAGTGGAAGAAATCTGTTGATTAAAAAACCCAGGAGGAGAGCTTCGGTGTCGGAACAGAGACGAAGATGAAGCACCTCCTCCTCCATTGCTGTCTCCTTCCATCTGATCATTGAAACCGCTGGTGCTCTGCATCACGTTTTTGCCGGAATCTTTCTGGTAAATCGATGAGCCGGCCATAACATTGCAGTTTCCGGAATCCGATCCGAAGGAGGAAGAATAATAATCTCCGGCGAGGTAATGCCCCACGACGTTTGAACGGTGCTGCTGCTGCGGTGGCGGCGGCGGCGGAAATTGTGAGCCGAGAGAGGACAAATCACGGGTGGTTCCAACGGCGGACCCGTACCGAGACCGTTCGCCGGAGACGTCGGAGTTGTGCGGCGGAGACGGCGGAGAAGGAGGAGATGGGTACATGGTGTGTGTTTTGAGTGAAGGAAAGAGCCCTACGTACGAAGTTAAAGTTGCTAACTTTTTAGGGAATGGAGAGAGAGAGGGAGAGGGATTATTATAATTGGATCAAGGGTTACTAATTATAGTTGTGAATCTGTATTAAAATTACTTGAGAGGGATGAAATCCTGTTGAAGGCGTGTGTGCTTTGCCTTGACGAAGAAATAGTCTGCTCGTGATTCCGTCAATGCACGTGACCATCACGTGTTCCCCGACTTCATAATATAACTAATATAATCGCCCCACAATTTTTTTTATAGCCGGTGCGAATCTATACGGGTTTTAGGGTTTTATTAACGTGAATGAATAACGCAAAACGTTATACAATGCGGACTTTGACTCCCAATATACACTAATTTACATTCAATACAAGAAATCGAAATTGCCATCGTTTGATATATATTTACCATACGAGATGTGTGTATATATATATATATTTATATTTATATTTCCCGTTGTTGACGACCCTTTCCGTACATGCAAAACCTCCGTATATCTTACTTACGATCCAATAATTTAATTTTTTTTTATAAGAAAGATGGCCGATATATAAAACGAATTCTTTATACTGCACGTACGTATACATGAATTTAATAACTCATGCAAAAGGTGGAGGATAACTTAGTATAACCATCTATGACCAATAACTGGGCATTTTAAAAACATTTTGGTTCATCATTTTTTTAAGATGCAAGGATTCTCATGAACCAACTTCTTTCCGAATGATTGTGTATATATACGTAGACGTATACGTATATATATATATAATTTGGAAATGGGTGATTTATATATTTCGGAGTAATTTTGTCCGTCTAATGAGCATCTACAAAGTAATCGTCCAAGTGGATCTTTAAGATTCCATTTTGTGTTAAAAGAGAGAACACAACCTTGCCTTTTTTATTTTGGTACCTTTTTAACGGCAAACAGATAATGTAATGTCAGATTTCGGATTTAGCGGTAAAAAAGGAATGTGTTTAATATTACTGTTTGTAATAATCCATTTGATACTAAATTATGGAGCACCGAATTTTACTTAATTATAGGATTAGGATGAACTCTTAACTTAATGGCAACCCATAACGTAATTAGTTTCTATTAAATTAAGGATACTGTAATCGTCACGCAGAAAATTAATTAATTAGATTCCACCTTGAGATTCTGTTTATCATTGTACAACAACGACTATACTGAGGTTCGACGAAACGTAATGAAATATTGTAACTGGATAACTATAATTCCTTTTTTATTTTTCTTTTATATATACATACATATATATATATATATCGATTGATGAAAATTAGCTAGAAGAAGTTCCATCTAAACTTCTATTGTATTGTTTTTAATGACATATCTAGGATTTTTCCCGATTATGAAATCTAAAAACCAAAATAAAATTCAGTTAAAATTTTATATATTTGATTTTTCTAAAAGTCGAGAAAGCCGTTTTTTTTTAAAAAAAAAAAAAGTAAAAACAACAAACCCTTTTTTTAAGATTTTTTTTACATTTTTGTAAAAAAAAAAAAAGAACTTTTACATGCCAATCTCTTCACTTCGGCGTCTTCTATAGCTGGGCCCAATAGGCCCAATACACTAGTTGGATTTAAATTTGAGACTACTGACAGACAATTACAATGGAGAAATGTAGGCCCATATATTAATTGGGCTCAGCCCAAATTTAAATCTGCAAATGGGCCCATTTAATTGGGGCGTTAAGAAACAGTAATATTAGCCCAAAAAAGATACATATCTGAATTCATGATGCCATGGCATGGCCATGCTATGAATATGGAAGGCCACATTTTAAATGGAGGATGATAATGTGTGTACGTACGATGTTTGCATGGGGCCGCCCCTATGCATGGTGGCTTCCATCGCATTCGTACCCATGGCTACGAATTTGGAATATTCGAGCCCGTTCACCTAATTCATAATTATATTAGTTATTCGTCACTTCCAACTTCATCATGTTATTAAACAATCCATCTCTATTGTCTAGGCATGGCTCGCCGGCTCGGATTAGTAAAGCTACAAAAAAAACAATTATTATGATTGAATATAATTCTAGTTTTATTTAGATTACGATTTATTTAGATTTCATTAAAATAAAATTGGGATTAACTTTACTTTTGGTCGGATTTTCCAAAAAAAAAATTCTGCTATATTTTTTTTTTTTTGAATTTCAAATTTGATTTGCTTTCTTCGCTTGTAAAAATTCAGTAAAGAAATTGAGTCGATTCGATATGATTTCATGATCTTTAAAAAAATTGAAATATTAATTAAAAAGGTATTTTAAAAACCAATCCTCTATTTTTATTTGCGAGCACCAAACCTAAAAAGCTGATAAACTTAGGAGCTAAAAAGGAGACTATCATAAGTTTTTTTTTAATTTCCTTCTATTCCATATGTCATGAAGGAGAATATATTATTATTATATATATATATATATGTATTAATGAGTGGTTTTCACTTTTCATGACAACACAAATCATATATATATATATAATATATATATATATATATATTAGAAACACTCTCTGAAACTATATATTATATGTAAAAAAATTATACTGTGTCCATCGAAAAAGGACGATACAAATAAAATTGGTTTTCTCAATCAACTAGTTTTAACAGTCCCGTTTATTTTACAGCTATTATCTCTTGCTAATTTCTACGGTTAGTATACACTTTAAATATATATGTAATGTCATATATATATATACGAAAACTTATATATATTACCCAATAGTTGATGACCAAGTGGATGAGAGGTGATAAAGTCATCCTAAAAATCGTGGGTTCGATTCTATTGGTAAGAAAGAATCTGATTTCTCAACGAAAATGATTTATATATAAAAATTGATCCCGGATATAGGAAGAATTTGGTTATAAAAAAAATTTATATATGTTTATATTTATTAAAAAAAGGCAAATATATGATCGATGATATTGCTAAAAAAAATGTTGTGTCTATACATATGCGTGTACACCCAAACACACACCTTATAATCCATGACACCATGCCAATGATTTGTCCAATTTTTGTTCACATCATTAGATATTAGTTTAATACAAAAAAAAAGAGGAAGATAGAAAACAGAGAGAGAAAGAAACAAAACAAATAAATGCGCCTAGGGGGAGCAGGAACACATCGAAGCAGAAGAAAACGCACACACGTCACACACACACACATACACACATATATATATATATATATATATATATTATTACGTTTTTAATTTTTATTAGACTAATTATTTCCGAATGATTTCATCTGTGGAATAATGCGGTGCCTATATTCTATTTGAGGAATTACAAATTAATAAAATTTGTGGAGAACTGATTGAATGAAACGGCCGACATGAAAACAAGTATCATTAATGAATAACTTTAATAATAACAATATCCTGTGATTTTTTTTTCAGTAAATTCTTAAATAGTAAAATTTTAATCAAATCGAATTTAATTTGTAATAATTGTTTATGATTGAAACCCCATACTTGTAAGAGGTATAGGAAATTGAGTGTGGGCAATCTAAAAACACCACATAAATCGATTAAGTGCAGATTTCGTTCTTCTTGTTTTTAACTTGAACTCGTACGACATCTCACCCACACATCACAACAAGATTTCTGGTCCGTACGAAATATTTATATCCGAATCAATTAACTATTTAATTAACTCGATATCTATCGATTATCAACCCTGAATTTGAACATTTAATCGTTTAAAAAAGATTAACTCTCATATAAGACAAAGATTAAACAATAAATAAAAAAATAAAACGAGGGAGGGATATTAAGAGACTCGTCGAATTTGGGTGTCGATTTCTTATTGGAGAATTAGGGCTTCCATTACGCTCTGTTAATATGTCACTTTCTCAATTTACTCTTAATCAAAATTTAATTAAGTGCGTATTAGTTGTCGGGTTATCTTTCAAAAGGAAATAAATTAATGGGGGGAAAAGCAATGATAAACGGAACGGGCAGTACTTTTGTACTCTTGTAGGCATTTCCTCAAGATATTTTCATTCGTTATCAATACAATATATATATATATATATGTATGTATGTATATGTATGTCTTTTGTTACATATTTTTGTTTCGGATCATTAATTATACCATTTTATCAAGTAAATTAATTATAATCATTTAGAAGATCGTTGTACTATTTAAGATTACATATTATGCTAAATTAATGGTTGTCGGATTAATGGAGGGGGACTAAAGCGAAACAAATTCGGTAGTTATTTTTCATTCACAATTAATTAAATTGCTATATATATATATATAAATATACATGTAAAGTTTTTCAAAATTAAGAATAGTCAAAACCCCATGTGCCTCGTCTGGAGGAATCAATCATCTTTACATCAAATCTTCATATTATCTCATTATTTTATAAACAGTTTTAAACTTTCAATGCCACGTTTTTTTTTTCAAACATGGAATAAGATGACCCTTTCCGATCCACGTTGCGACGTTAAAAAAAAGTGAAAATTTGACGTTAAAGAGTCTAATTTTCGCATTTTTTCAAGTTAAAATATATCAACAAAAACTATATGTATATATGATAATGGTATGTGTATATATATATATATATACAGTCTGAAATTGATAGAAACATATGCTCAATTGTTTATGATTAACTAATAGTAAAATAGTAAATAAGTTCTTATTGAAACTCAAGTAAACTATTCAAATATATTAAATATTTATCTTACTACTCTCTTTTATCATTTTATTTTTGTAATGATAACATTTTCTGGGTTCCCCACACGTATATAATACTACTAAATACAATCAATTAGTTATATCACGAATCGTGATAACCTAACCAAATCAATTAGTTAATCCCCAAATATCGTTACCTGTAACATATTTTTAACTTTGTTAAAATTAGAATATTAATTTCTCTACGGAATATCTATAAAAAAAAAACTCCCCAAGAGCATCTTACTCGGAAGAATTGGCGAGAAACACACGTTAGCGTAGTTTTGTCATCACAATATAT